AAAAAAAAAAAACACATTGGATCTTGAGTCCAGACTCTTGAAAACATTGACAAGAAAAAGGACTCTTGATTCAAGCAGATTTAAGCTTAAATCAAAAGGAAATCCGCTCAAATTAAGAGGCTTGGTTCTTGATCTAAGCTTAAATCTGATTGAATCAAGAGTATTTTTTCTTGTCGATGTTTTTAAGAGTCTGGATTCTGGATCCAATGTGTTATTTTTTCCAGTGTGATGTGGAAACACTATGTTTTTCTTCATTTTGTGGATATGCAATTTTATCTTCTTGGAATTTAAAATATTTCTATAACGTGTTCTATCACCATCCAACTTTCCTACTCGTGCGTTAAAGTCTCTGAGTGAGTCAAAAAGAGTTCACGGTCTCCTTCACTTTATGGATATGCAATTTCATCTTCTTGGAAGTCAAAATAGTTGTATCACGCGATTCTCCCATCCAACTTTCCTACTCAAGTCTCTCTCGGCTTATTTTGAAATGTGTGGGGCAGCGCCTGCGCCACACCGCCACTGCAATAGTAAACTTTTGTGTGCTTCTTTAATTGAGTTCGAACATGTGTTGGGGATTTTTGCTTGGCCATCTGTTGCGATTAAAAATTTCGCAAGAAACGAGATGGCGTCGCTGACTTTGCTAAAAACCAAGTCTTAAATTTAAGAAAAAATCACTTGAATTTAACGCCATAAGGTGCGGAGCACTATTTCAGCGTAAGAGAGTCCACCTTCCTATTCCGTTCAAGTATCCGTGCAAATATAGGGCTGAATACATTAGCAGAGTTGCCACTCTACCTGTATGCGGAGACTTCGTGTAACGAGGAGGTAACTTTCAGCTGGCAGTCATGGCAACCCTGCTAATGTATTCGGTCCTACCTTTGAATGGTGGATTTGACTGTATAAGAAGTCGCACTCTACTCTTTTACTGAAGTGGTGCTCATTTCACTATTACCTTAACTTAATGTGAAGGGTTTTTGTGCTCAGGAATTGACTTCAGAAAAAACAAGTACCATCGCACTGCTCGCAAAATTTCACGCGAGAACTGATGATAAACTCGAAAACCCTCAAAGTATGTCGAAACTCCATCTCAAACCTTCGACTGCATGACCATATGGGTTTAGGTTTCTAACGGGGTCAACCAGATAAACCCAAAAGAGACGAGGCCTGCTCATTACACATAAAGTCAGCAGAATTCGATATCAATTCGCGTAAAGGACACTTTCGCTGTCAAAATTTTGATTTCAACAGTTTATAGATTATTATTTTGTCAAGGACTGTGAGTTGCGTGGAAAAATGATTTTTATTTATTGTTAGTATGTTTCCAACCAAGTAATCAGTTGGCTCTCTAATTATTGAGTATGAGGAGAATTTAATTAATGAACAGAGACAGCAAGTGTAATAAGTAGCTTTACATCGATGGCCAACGGGCGAAACGACGTATCTCCGTTCGCGACGTTGTGGACCTCCTGTCATACTTCATTTCTCCTTCAGAAAAGAAGTCAACGTAATTTCTTGAAAACTTCATTTATTTTTCTTCACTGTTAGCAAAATATTCTGTAGGTACGGATTTCAAAGTATAAAGTCGGTTTGTTCTTCTTCAAAAAAAAAAAAAATTAAGATAGGAGCAGATATCTTGAGACACCGCAATGGAGATACTTGGTTTCGCACTTTGGCCATCGACACGCTCTTTTAAGCCCGTGTCCCACGATCAAATGAAGTCATCAAATGCAAGAAGGCGGGTTCACCAAAATTTGACGGCCCGCTAACTTTTGATAGCAGACTTACGCGAAAACCAGTCGCCATCTTGCATTTGATGACAATTTGATGAGTTCATTTGATCGCGGGACAAGGGCTTTACGGAGCCGAGTTTCGGCAACAGACTGACATGCAGACCCCTCATTTTACCCTCCCCAAAAAACTTCCCTTCCTCTGTGCACTGCCTATACTTTCCCTCTTTTTCATGCAGTTTCATATTTACATGGAAAAAGCTTAATTTTCTAGAGTTAGTCTGATGTGGGCCGTTTAGCTAGCGTCAAATTCGAGCCAATTACCGGTCGGCTTTTAGTATCCAGGAGCAAGACTGATGGATTCCAATTTCTCCATCTCGTTTCGAGTTCGACCCCCGCCCATCGACTCCTTTTTTCCCACGATCCCGACAGCGGCGGCGATCGCGACGCGGCGGCTCGAGATTTGGCACTATCGCGGAGTTCAGGTCGACGAGAGAAGATCAATGATTATTACAACCAGTTCTTTCATCGCCGAGCAGTTCGGCACTTGGCGGGGTCCACCACCGGCCGGCTTCGCGCCGACTCTCGAACTCGATCCGATATCGAAGCAATGAAAATCCGCGTGTAAAAGCTCGATATATCGAAGTGCGATACATCGATGTTCGAGGGAAGAGTGGACGCCGCGCCGGACGCGCCTAATAAGCATACGAACGAGAAAAGTTTCCCGCTGGACTCTCCGGCTGAAGCTGCCGACAAGCTAACACTCGACGTTTCAAGCCATGTTGCAGATTATCGTCTCGTTTCCCGCTGGTATCCACGGAGGGATCGGACTGATTTCTGGGAGGATGGCAACGTCGACTTCGAGAGGTGCACTTGACGGTGCGGTGGCTTGTCTATCAACAGCCCGGTGGTCCTCGAAAAAGAGGACATCCAAGATGGCACGGTGCTTGTGAGGGTTTCAATGTATTTGCGAGAATTCAAAATTGAGCCTTCGAAAAACCTTTTTTGGACTTGGAAGGTCTTGGTCTTTGCGAGCAGGTGCAATAAAGCGCCAAAGTTTTGGCGTCAGAGGCGGATTCAGCAATGTGGCAACATAGGATTTTCTCCATGTAAACCTATGCTAAATAATCGATTCTTGTCCGAGCAGCTGGCCCCTCCAAGAATCGATACATTTCTATAGGTTTAAATGGAGGAAAGACAATGCTGCCAATTTTCTGGATCCGCCAATGTTTGGCATTCGAAAAATACGGTTTCTCTAAGCTCAGAGAAGCTATGACTGAGTAGCAATGACAAGGGGTCGTTCATAGAATACGTAACGCTAAGTTTCGGATTTTTCGAAACCTCCCCTCTACCCTTCTGACAGACCTCTTAATGCTTCGACGACGTAGGTCCCTATCCTTTACCGTGTAAAAATAAACTGCCGTAGCGCTTTTCTTGACCCCCTACCCCTCCCTCCTAGAGCATTACCTATTTTCAGACCGGCTTCTAAAGTTTTCGGGACTGCGATCGGTGTCAGTCTTCAAGATCGGCCTTAAGTGTTGGTTGACCAGAGCATTGAGAATTTGCGAATTCCGGAGAAATAAACAAGGAGCAAAGTGCAAAACTGAGGGATAACATATCTATGAGTTCAAAAAATTAAATGTGTGATAAAGGGAATATGCTAACTTCTCAAAAGATCAAGATTGAAAAGTGATGCAAAGTATGACAATTACAGAGAGAAAAAGAGAACGAGCTGCGTGGACCAGGGCCGCCTCTGTCTGATGCAATTGCAGACATGAGTATCTACCCTTTTGCCTTCTAATTAAGTTAAACAATTTTTTGAGAAAATTGCAATCAACGGTTGCTAATTCTGCCGTGCTAAGGAAGAGCGCTATATGAACATTCGAGAGTTGCCACATTTCCTTTGTTAAAATATTTATCTCTGAGAAAAGCTATGAATATGTTTCCTTGAAATTTTCAGGAACTCTAGGCGAAATTGTGAACACAATTATCTGAAAAATTGGAAGAGAAATATTCATAAGTTTACCAAGAAATTTGTGTGTTATTAAAGGAAATATGGCAACATCTGAAGGTTCATACAGCATTTACCCTTAGCACAGCAGAATCGAAGGAGACTGTAAAAATAATTTGCTACGTATTGAGGCAACTAGCAATAGTTTGGTTAAAGGACCTTCTGGCTACTTGTAAAATACATTTACTTATGAGGGAGAATATCGATGGTGAAGCTGCAGAAACGCATGTATCTAACATGTCTTGCCATAATTCCTTTATTTGATACAAGAAAAACTACTTAGAGTCACTTCTTGAAAACTCTAGTGAATTTTCTTCTCTATCAAGGAACATTCTGTAAAAATGGCAATGATGTTGGTTCCATCTTATTGAAAAAAATGAAATAGAAGTGGTGGAGATTTAGGGACATCGCGACTGAGATTCATACTTTAGCAGTCTCACCATTAATATAGGAAGAATTACAGAATATTAGAATTCCTTTGTAGACTGAGATTTAAACATTAATAAAATCATTCATTTTTTTAGAGCCTGAAAAAATCCTGTCTGCACTTCAGGACGGATCAGTAAGTATGGATGTTTCTCGTGATTCAAACCCAAACCAGTTGAATAATTAAGGTTAGATACCTTAAAATTTAAAATTCTCAAAGAGGGAGCAATAGATAGCACATCTCTTTTACTGCAACATAAAATTTATACTCTATGACCCTCCAAATCTCAAGTGCCAAAATGATATACTACCAGATAACTGGAGGAAATGTTTAATTAACTTTGCGGTAAGGGGTGAATTCATTCTTTTCATGAGAAGGTAAATCTGAAATTAGACTGCTGTGAATGAGAATTATCCATACTAATATTGCGCTGAAAGTGCAAGAGAAAATTATATTAAAACTTTCCCGGGTTAAAGGTTAGAAAAAGTAACAGGTGCACATGCTGCAAGGGTTAGCTACAGGGATATTTAATGGGCACCTGTAAAACTGTTGCACATCGAGATGCTTCTTTCGGATACGATTTGTTGCAAGCAGTAAACTCTATCATGTAAATTCAATACATGTCACATGGTGAATTCGGTAAATAGTGGGAAATATGATAAAAGCCATTGATGTTAGAACAAAGCAGTTTTCAACCGACATTTGAAGAATGGTAGTGCTTAGGTATTGTTCATATCTATTGGTGAGCCGATTTGAGACTAATAAGAAGCTCGGTAATGTAAAGTGAGGAACCCATGCAATAATACAAAAGAAAAATAATGCAATCTTTACATACTTGTTAGTAGAGAGCTAGGTTTACGTGATGTGCACACAAAAATTTTGTAAGTTTCACAAAAACAACCGAACGAAATGAACTCCAGCACGATTCACTTTGAAATATTGAAAATATCAGGTGCAAATGGAAACAAAATAACTCGCGACGTACGACACGACACTCTGAATTCGCGGCGAACGGAAAACTATTACTGAATAAATCGAATTTAACTCATTACCTCGGACGTGAGCTGTAGCAGAACAAAACGACAACAAAAACTGATCACTAAAAAATAAAAGATGTCAATCAAACAGCGAGTTATTATGCGGTTAGTTGAAAATTCCGCTACCAGACGTCGCTACCTCCCGTGCATCTCCTTTTCGGGGCTCCGCATAAACCGACGATGCTTGATGCTTTTTCGTTGCCACTCAACAACCTCTTATCATTCTGTTTATTGTTTACACTGATTACATTAACTTGCGATAGTGATAAGTTATCAATTATAAGCTGTCATTCGTAGGATTTTTGAGTCTCCGCGGAACAGTGTAACTGTATCGAAAGAATAAGTGTTTCCTACATACCGTATCCGGTCTGCATCCGTAGTCAAAAGATTGTGCCATACTTTCTGCTGCACTTCATCAATACCCAAGGTGTCGAACCTGAAGTAATTGGATACTTCCTTTTTAACTCCTAGTCAACTTGTCAACCCAACTACAAGGACTTTCTAAGACTGCAACTGCGAATATGTTGGCTTCTAACGAATTGATCAAGAAAAGTATCTTGCTCAGTTCTAAAATGTTTGTTCGTCACGGATCTTTGGTTTTCAATAAGGCGTTTGTCAATGGTAGTTTCATTGATGCAGATTCAAGAAAACAATTCAATGTTGTCAATCCTGCAACAGGAGAGGTTATCACTCCCGTGCCTGACATGGATGTGTCCGATGTTGAGAAGACCATAACTCTTGCCCATGATGCTTTCAAGGAATGGAAAAACACAACAGCCAAGGAACGTGGTATTGTCCTAAGGAAATGGTATAATCTTCTCGTTGAACATCAAGAAGAACTGGCAAGGATCATTACATCAGAGGCAGGTAAGCCATACAAAGAGTCTTTGGGAGAGGTAGCATACGGAAACTCATTCATAGACTGGTTTGCTGAAGAGAGTAGAAGAATTAATGGTGAGGTCATTCCAAGTCCAGTGAAGAGTAAACGTATTGTTCTCATTAAACAGCCAATTGGAGTCGTTGGTCTGATAACACCATGGAACTTTCCGCATGCCATGATTACGCGGAAAGCAGGAGCTGCCCTTGCTGCAGGTTGCACTTGCGTTGTTAAACCTGCAGAAGATACACCGTTAACAGCCCTTGCACTGGCTGCTCTAGCAGACCAAGCAGGTTTGCCCAAAGGAGTTTTAAATGTTATAACCTGTGATCGCAGCAATGCTCCTGCAGTGGGTAAGCTCTTGTGTGAAAGCCCTCTAACTGCCGGTATTTCATTCACTGGGTCGACAGCTGTTGGAAAAATTCTCTACCAACAGTGTGCCTCCGGTGTGAAGAAAGTCGCTTTTGAGCTTGGTGGCAATGCTCCATTTATTGTATTTAATTCAGCGACAATTGAAAAAGCTGTCGAGGGTGCAATTGCTTGCAAATTCAGGAACAGTGGACAGACCTGTGTGAGCGCTAATCGCATATTTGTACAGGACAAAGTGTTTTCTCAATTCGTTGGTGCTCTAAAAGAAGCTATGGATAAATGCCTCAAAATAGGCAAAACTGAGGACTGTAATGTAGGACCGCTCATCAATGAGGCACAGATGAACAAAGTAAGTAGTCTGGTTGATGATGCCGTTTCAAAGGGTGCCAAAGTTTTGCTTGGTGGCAAGAAAGCCCAAAGTCACGGGTCTTTATTTTACGAGCCAACCCTATTGACTGATGTTACTCCGGACATGTTGTGTGCCAAGGAGGAAATCTTTGGGCCAATAGCTGTTTGTTATAAGTTCAAAACTGAAGACGAAGTAATAGCTGCTGCAAATGATGTTCGCGTAGGACTTGCAGGCTATTTCTACTCAAATGATATCGGTCAGATTTGGCGAGTTGCAGAGCAGTTGGAGGTTGGAATGGTTGGTGTAAATGAAGGCATTATTTCTACCGCTGAGGCTGCCTTTGGTGGTGTGAAAGAATCAGGCATTGGGAGAGAAGGATCTCACCATGGAATTGATGAATTCACAGATGTCAAGTATATTTGTTTTGGAAACTTAGACTAAAGGGCAAGTTCTCTATAACTTACGCCTCCTTGCTATGTGCCATTTGAGTCAAAATTGTTATACTTCATTAATTAATCAATCGTGTGTCTACTTTCCATTCCCTTGAGTGTATTGAATTTCTTTATGTAATTTATAATGAAAAAGCCAAAGAGAAGGTGACAGCCTCCTCTTTACCAGTCATCGATCTTTGAAAAATGATCAGCAAGTTTTTTTTAAGGAGGAAAAAAAACAACTATCCTAACGTAAGTATGTATTTAATCTACAATTACCATCCCTGAGTTGAAAGTTTGGTTTGAGAATAATGTAAAAATTTACTTAGATTTGAGTATCCAATTTTGAGCAGTCAGCGATCCTCAGTAATGTTTGTTTCAATACTGGATTTTTACTACCTCTGATGAAGTTTTGGTTTTCATATTGATGTGAATACAAATAATTTTAATGCAATAAAACAAATTGAGGTGGTAGGTATTGAAAGCCTCTTTAATTTGAACGCATCGTAGCAGTATCAAGAGTCATTAATTTTCTTTTTTTATTGAAGTCTTAATCCCACCAAACAAATATTTTCATCCTAAAAAATGTAGGAATTTCCTCTTTACGCCTGTGATAGATTTGGTTTGGTTTCATTCTCTTGTTTTTTAAACTGTATCTCCAGACCAGCATGTAGTTAAATGTATAATTTGTATTATGAAGTATTGTTTTTCATCATTGGTTTTGACTTTACGTTTCTTCCTTATCACCACCGATATATCTATTTTTTAGCCAGTAATATACAAGTCATTCGTTTATTTTATTAGTCGGGGTGATCACACATCATTCTTTGGTCTTTAGAGATAATTTTATTACCACTATCATATTTTTTGTATATTTATTCTGTAAGTATCCCCCCAATTTTACACATCAAGCTTTTAATAAAAAGTTTTTGTACAGGAGAAGTCACAAGAAAAAAAGCTCTCTAGTGGAAAAACAAATTGTACCTATAGACTTTAAATCATCTCTTTACTTTGCAAAATTTACTACACTGAGAATCTTTCTTCCATACTTTAGGTACTTAGGCATTAAGTTGATAATCATTGTCTTCCATTAAATATTATTTTTAAGATAGTACAAAAAACATCCACGATGAAATGAATGGTTGTGACCTTAATAATTTAATACAAAGCAAATAAAAGTTGTCCTGTCTTTTCATCTATCTTTACCTTTTTTTTAAACATCCCAGCGAATGCTCCCTTTTCTACCTAGATGAAAAACTCCAACAAGGTTTGAATAATTTGGAGGTCATTTTGACCCCTGTTTTTTCTTTTATTTCTTTTTTTCTGAAAATTTGACCAAGAATCGATAAGGGTGTTGAAAAAATAAAGAGCCAAAAAGTCCAATTCTTTTACAACTGTAACTGCAGTCCACGTTGAAAGTGAATATAAAGTTGCCGTAATCAAGAATTGAAGGCGCATCTTGAGACGGAAAAATATACCTACCTATCAACATTGGGTATCGTGCACAGCAGCTCGCATTTCGGAAACGATAATTAGTTTTTTCCCCCACACAATTTTATAATGTATAGCAATCGTCTCTTAAATTTCCTTGACAAGATTTCAGAATGTGAAGCTTGAGCCTTAAAGTGTAAGCAACTCCCTGTACCTCTACCGATTCTATTCGAAATCGTGAGATTCTTATTTTACTATCCAATTCATCTTTCTTTTTGCCCCACTCATAAACCACCGTCAAAATGAGAGTTGCTGAACCAAACGTGGAATACAATAATAAGAAACTTAATAACCGTAATTTAAATAGTTAATGGCTTTATTTGACATCGACAAATAAGAGTATTAATACAAAGACGTAAAAAAAGAAAATTAACAGATGCATAGGGTAAACAATAAAAAAAGTAATCGATGAGTACTGTAAGCTGGGGTGCTTTGGAGGACATTTCTTCAGAGTTCTCAGATAAGTCTGTAGTATTTACAATTTAACGGCGCAAGAGGTGTTGGCGCGATGCGTATGGTGTGTTGCATGCCTTAAAATGGAAGGAACTTCTGAGACGTTTTGCGAAGCAGACACTTGTAACTTGACGTGACGTGTTGCTTTGTTACGCGTTGTGCGCAGTCCCATTGTCTGATGTTGAAATGAAATAATTCCCAACCTATGATTAACATTTCTGGAAAAATTAAACAGTAGATCTAACAAGATTTTAAATTAGGTAATAGTCCACTTCACAGGAAGCGTTTTAAAATATATGTGCTGTGTCAAGTTGGAAGAGATTGAACAACAGCAATAATTAGGTAGTATTCTTCCCATTGCTCTCAATGCTTTATAAATTCTAAGAAGGGCCTAAACTGCAACCCCCTTTTCTCAAATTTTCATGATATGAAGAGCCGTTATTTCACAGAAATCATAATAGACGTACGTGTTTTGTGAGGTTCCTCGGAATTTACTTTTAAGGATTCTGACAAAGTGGGTGTATACTTTCAACAGGTGCATCCTAATGTAATTGTGCGTTAAAGTTGGAACATAACATCCATTGAATATTTAAAAAGATAACTTTAAAATCGTCGCTATTTGTGTTAGCATCTCAATCAATCATGTCAAGGCATGTGTAAACCAGAAATGGAGAACCGGTTTACACTTATCTTCCACCCGGAAGGCTTCCTCGACCTTCGGCTTTCCTCGTTGGGGTACTATTTTCATGGGCGGAACCAGCCTTTCTTTAAGGGACGCCTTTACCTATCTGTGCTCCCAACTAGGAGGGAGCCACAGTTTCTTTGGTTATAACATTTCGATGGCCAAAGTGTGAAACCACGTATCTCCGTTTGCAACGTTTTAGACTTCCTGTCATACTTAATTTTTTCATTTGAAAACTAGTCAACTTATAGTTTGTTGAAAACTTCCTCGACTCTTCTTCTTTATCAGCAGAATATTCGCCAGAAATTTCAAGTCATGCAGTTGATTTGTTCCTCCTCGAAAAAAGTAAAATAGGAGTGGAGATTTTGAAACATCGCAATGGAGATACGAACTTTAGTCATCGATTTTCTTCTACCAATCAAAGGCGTAGCTCGACCAACCTACTGAGGGTAGCACCCCCCCCCACCTTTTTTTAAAAGGAGTGCTTCTGGTCTCCCTAGTACACAAGGAGGTTTCGGAGGGAAGGGCGGTTACTCTCCCGGAAAATTGATCACACGCACGGGATGCATTTTAAAGCTACTCTCAAGCAAAATCTAGCCATTTGCAAATTAAAGGTTCATCTCTTCCAGTAATTCTTGAAAAACATCCCACAATTTTACCGTTTTCCTATCGCCTTCCTGCAATGCAGCGAGGGAATGAACCAGGCTATCCTGTGTCATCCAGATTTTCTAGTAAGGGTCAGACGATATTATTTTAAAGTCGGGGGCTTACGCCAGGCCCACTTTGCCCCCCATGAGCTACGCCTATGGCTGGTTCCACTCAGTTGGATTACATTTTGCAATTTTTAATTACAATCTCTGGCTCAGTCTAGAAACAACGTATGTACCATTAGTTTCCCCACATGTACTTAAGTGTTTTTAGGGATGAGTCAGAAATTGAACGAATTTCTGTCAAACGGAACTATGTGCATTATAACGAGAGCCTTGTTATGCATGCCTGTATTCTTATGTTTGTCAGGGTTCATTTCTTAATGCACTGGAAAAAAAACACATTGGATCTAGAGTCCAGATTCTTAAAAACATGTGTTTGGCGCAATGCGTGAAGTATCCCTACAGTCTTGTAGGCGCTATGCGTTTCACGCTGACCGCTGCTGACCAAGTGACCGCGCTGTTTTTGACGCAATGCGTGAAGTATTCATGGAGTCTTGCAGGCGCTAATATGTAATTCATGCTGTCCGGTGCGCCGATAGGGCTTCTCCTTTCCATCTCAAGTTCTCGCCATCGTTGCTCTCTGCGCCGTGCCGCTCCAGGCCAAACAGCGTGTTCAAACAGGCCAAATCAGGAACCAAGCCTCTTAATTTGAGCGGATTTCCCTTTGATTTAAGCTTAAATCTGATTGAATCAAGAGCATTTTTTCTGGTCAATGTTTTCAAGAGTCTGGACTCTAGATCCAATGTGTTTTTTTTCCAGTGTGCATATAGTTCCGTTTGGCAGAAATACGCCAAATTTTAGTTGCCAAATGCAGAATGAAGTGGAGTTATTCCGCGGTGGCGAGTGGCTTACTGCCGGCCGATGGTATGATAGGATGGTCGGCGGAGGCTCCCGTTGATGTTGAGGGGGGGGAGGTTGGGGTTTTCGATCCTGGTCGGGGAGGAGACCCGGGGCCTGACTTTGGAGATGTAGTCCTCGGCCTCGATGAAGCCGCAGTTCTCGAAGCTCTTGGTGGCCGGCTTCAGGATCGGGAACGGGAGGGGCTCCGTCACGTGCTTCATGGTCCCGTGGGGCCCCAGCGTGGCCCAGAAGGCCCGCCCGTGCATCGAGGCCGGGTACAGCACCGCCTCGCAGTTCCCGCCCTCGTTCAGGCTGCTCAGCGAGGGGATCTTCAGCGTCTTCAGTCTGCAAGATGATAAAAAGTGAAGTAATAAAGAGATAATAGATCGACGGTGTAAGTCGGCAATCACACAACTCGGTTTGCGTCGTCGCAGACTTCCTGTCATACGTTATTTTTTAAACGGAAAACTACTCAGCGGAAATTCTTGAAAACTTCCGTGATTTGTCTTCACTGTGCGAAAAAAATTCTGCATAAACTTCAAGGAATGATGTCCATTTGTTCTCTTTTAAAATAATAACATAGAGGCGGAGATTTTCAGACACCGCAAACGAGTTATGTGCTTGCTGACTTACACTGCCGAAATGTCTAAAAAAAGTGAAAAATGTGTTGAAAGTCTGGAAAATGGCCAGTCGCGCTCTCGGGAGAATATTTTAGCGCTCGTGTCTGTGGGTTCATTATTGAAATTGATAGACAAAGCCATGCACAAAGGAAAAATGGCGCGATCCTATTGGTGAGAGCGGGTGGCTGCAATAGATATAGGAGGTAAGTAGTAGACTAACTAACGGCAACCTATGAGGGATATCATAGTTGGACCTAGTTTATCAGAAAGTAATGAACCCACATCAAGTTGAAACTGTGAGAAAGAGGTTTGAAGTTTTATCCCTCTCTAAGACCTAATGTAGAAAGCCAGCTTTAACCCAGCTTTTCACAAACTAATATGTTTTTTTGAATTTTTGGTAGGAGAAAACATCAAACTAGAGGAACTCAAAAACATTCTTAACTCAATGTTTTCAAAAATTTGGGTTGGCTCCTTTCTGTTGAACTCTGTCTAGTTAGTATAACGAATACCTATTTCAACCAATAGGATCTCTCTATTTTCCCCTTCTCCTCTTTGTCTGTAGCTTTGTCTATCATTTTCAATTGACAGCCTGCTGAAGAGGTATATCAAATGGCAGAATCGAAATTAAGGAAAATTCCATTTTGAACAAGAGGAACTCCTGTTGAATATGCCTCAAAAGGAACTTCCCGCTAAAACGATGGGAAATCCCCTTTTTTCAAACAGTATTCCCATTATTTCAAACAGACGTGGCCTCAGAGGCCGAATAGTTGTATCAATTAAAAACCCTATCAACAGAGTAGCAGTGTGAATCAATATGTAAATTCGATTGATCGAGATAATTTGATGGTGAGTGACGACGCATCAAAAACGCCTTCATTGTGAAAAGATACTTCCTAGCATGGCCCCGGAGGCCGAATAGTTGTATCATTTAAAAACCGAATCAGCAGTGTAGTAGCACGTCAATTGGTGAGAAGTGCGATTGCTTAAAAAGATTATTCGATGAAGATTGACGACGCATAAGAAACGCCTTCATCGAGAGAAGATACTTCCTAGCGTGACCTCAGTGGCCGAATAGTTGCATCGATTAAAACCCCAAGAAAATTGGAAAAGATTCTGTCAGGAATTCAGTTCTTGCGAAGAAGCTGATTGGTTTTTTATAGCATCAGACATAAATAATGAGGATAAAATTTCAACTTACTGACGACATCTTATGAGGAACATTGTTAGCAGAATGCTTAGCACCAAAACTATGACTAGCGAGGATCCAAGTATGATCAACCAGGTTTCATCCAGTTGTGTCTCTGTAAAAATTCACAGTTAATCAGATTATTTGTAATGTATTGCGCTTCTTTTTATTTATAGATATAGTAAGAAAACACTTGATCCAGAGTTTTCCAACTTTTGATCAGAGATCTGAATTTTACGGATGAAAAATTAAGCTCTCGTAGAGTTTTGATATTTTCTGCAAATGAGTATTATGTTGAGATAGATAATTTGCATGGTCTACGTGGTTTTCAGAAAAATTAGGGCCGAAAGAGACTCAGGGTCGTATTTATTTTTGTTCCCTAAGCGCAGCATCTCCGCTTTAGAGAGACCTTTATGATCCAAATTGATCCAATGGTAGATCAATTTTCGATTGATCGACTATTCACAAAAAGATCCTTGATACAATACATTGATTCTATACTAAAATAACAATACTGCCCCTATACTTAGAAATAGTATTTTATGATTCATTGATAGATTAATATTTTGTACATGCATTTCTTATAAATTGATCCTCGATGTATCCACTTTCGATACATTGATTTTCGACGAATCGATTATCGATGCACAGGTTGCGATACCGGTTCCTGAACGATCAAAGAGCATGTTCCTCCCTTGAACTCAACGAACTACACCTCTAGAATGGCCGCGAGATAGCAAACCTGCGTAACGCGCCAGGGCCGGTTTTTGAAGGCAGGAGGGGGGTGGGAGCCCAAGTATAGCTAACCTCAATCTCCATTTCTGCTGCGTCTTGCCCATAAGGATTACATGTGAAAATTTCAACCTATGAAAACTTTCATTTTTTTTGAGGTTTGCTTTCAAAGTTCCTATTTTTTGAGTTAAGAAAACCTTTGGAGGTGCGATTATTATGCAATCTTTTCATTGCTATCACTTTATTCAACAATATTCGGCAAAATGTGGGCAGCGTCTGACATGGGTTTAGATGGCAGCCTGCTGTGTGAGCCCAAGTAAACCTAACCTATATCAACTTCAAAACGTTCCGGGTCTCTAACACTGGTCGGCCATTCTAGAGGTGTAGTTCGTTGCTTGAACTACCCGAAGTTTTCAAAGTCATGTGACTGTCAAACGTCAAACGGTAGCGCAGCGTTTTTTATTTCGCCTATATGCAGAAACAATTCATGTCTGAAAATTCGTTCTGAGGCTGTATAAAAGTATTCATGCTGAGGAAACCAAATTAATCAGTTTTCTTTATTATTATTTATTTCTTCGAAATCGACGAGTACAATATTTACTTAAAGCACTCGTCTAATTCTTTAAATTCAAGTTTGAATATTACCTTGATGCGGTAACTCGACATATTCAACGCTGTGTCCGGTGGACCAATCGCAGGAAAAAGGGGAGCAACCGGGAGATAAGGTGAAGTTGCTCTGAAAAAAGGAGGGCATGGGTGGGGGTGGGATTTCGAGGATAGAGTCCGGTGGGGGGTCCCATGAGTCGGAGCAACCGGAATCCAAAACGCACGCCAACATGTCAACGCCGCTCCCCATGTCACCTGAAAATTTCAAATCCTCATTGGAACGGGGTTGCTTGTATCAATGAAAAAGGGAGTCACTATGCTGCCGTGCTAAGGAAAAACGCCGTATGAACCTTCAAGCGTTGCAAAATTTCCCTTGGTAAAACACAAATTTCCTGGTAAACTTGTTGAATATCCCTTCCAATTTTTTAGATAATTCTGTTTGCAATTTCACCTAAAGTTCCTAAGAATTTCAAGGAAAAATGGACGCACTTCTATCAGACGGAACTATGTGCATTATGACGTAAGCCCTGTTATGCATGTTTTCTTATGGGTCTCAGGGCTCTTGTCTTAGTACACATACTTCCGTTTAACAGAAATACGTCCAAATATGCATAACTCTCCTCAAAAATAAACATTTTATCGATGAAAATTTGACAACTCTCGAATGTTCATAGGGCGTTTTTCCTTAGCACGGCAGTATGGGCAAGGGACGTAAATGCTGTGCTATCACACTGTCCTTGACTTAATTTTTTTCCTTTATTTTTCAAATAATCATGTAAAAAGGAATAGAAAAATGCGATTTTATTTACAATTTTGTTTGTCTTTTGACCTCTTTATTCAATGCGCATTTTCAGTATTTCAAAAGTAGGTTTTTTAGTATATTAGGGAGCTTTTCACAGTTCACTTTCCACTAAGTACTTTCAGGTCAATAAAAATTTTTATAATTTTATTGAGCCACATCCAAAATTGAAACCATAGATGAATTCCTCTGAATGCCTCAATGCAGGAATAACTGCAGAAGATGAAACATTTGAAAACAAACTTGGCAATCGTTTTAAAGTCATTCCGATTAAATTACAAAATATTCAATAGTAAGGAAAGACTCCGTTCAATGATCCTCACATCATAGCCAAATCTATGAAAACATATCAGTGAATACATCTACGAACTCTGGTTGGAGTACTTCCAAATTACACAACATATCAGTAATTTAGACGGAAGAGGGACTCTTGCTGTTATAACCTTAGTAATAATGACTACTATGATTATAACAGCAGCTATGATTTAGCAGCCTAGCTGCAAGTTAAACCATAGTAAGAACCAGGCCATACAGGCAGCTTAATTCACCTTAAGGCAGGAATCACGTCAAAAACCAGCGAATAGTTACAAGTACACATCAGGCTGATGTTACAATTCAGAAAAAATTACTGACTTGGGTTGGACTCAAAGTAAAGACCAGTTGAAGTCTCGGCAGGTGTATACTATCCGCCACAAAACAAGGACAACAATAAAGGTTCGTCGACCATGGGTACACGGACCTTGTTGCGCCGCGTCCCAGATCAAAAAGTAAAAATAGTAAAAGTCAAACGAAAAATCCGGCTCACCTCAAAAACAAGCGTGCAGATCACTGGACCATGGGTGCACGAGGTACCAGTATCCGGCGGATCAAGCGATTTCGAGCCAAACTTGAGCAGGAACGGCAAAGTTTGCGGGATATTTGTAAATAAACGGAGGAGGAATTACATGGTTATGTGGGCGCGGGAGCTTTCGGAGCAAGCGTGGAGATATCGATCGACCCGGTCAAAGCTACCGTCTCCACGACAGGGATGAGAACGGGGCGCTGCGTGCCGCCAAAACCGCCGCGCCGGCGTGAGTTTCCGCGCCACCCGCCACCACCCACCTCGCCGAGGAGTTTTCCTCGAAAGTGTCGGGACAACCGCGAAACACTCTATGATTGGCTGTGTGAATTTCCACACACGCGCGTGGTATCTATCTTTCCGATTCGAAGCGGATCGTTAGCCAATCGGAGGATTCGAATTTTCGATTTGAAATGCTGTATATTTGAATTTTGCGCTTCGTCTTGAAGTTCGAAGCTCCCGCTGAATATCGACGGTGAACGTAGTGCGTAGGTCAACACTGCAATGTTAGGGAAGAACGCCGTATGAACATTCGAGAGTTGCCAAATTTCCCGGTTAAAACACATATTTTTTGAGGAAAGTTAAGCATATTTTTGCAGAAAGCGCAGAGGGCGCCCTGTCAAATCGTGGATCGAGGGAATTAGGCAGGAAATGAGGAGATGCGATCTGCCGGAGGAGCTATGGCAGGATCGCTATCAGTGGCGGTTGGGTGTCGCAGAGCGCACAGAAGCGCTATAAGAGCGATTTGTTAGTTACTTATTGAGCATATTTTTCCTAAAAATTTTCAGATGATTTAGACGAAATTGCGTACAAAATTTCCTGAAAAATTAGAAGAAAAATATTAGCAACTCTCCCAATAAATTCGTATTTAATCGAAGCAAATTTGGCAACGCCTGAAGGTTCATACGGCGTTCTTCCTTAGCACGGCAGAACAGTTGAACGTTAGAATCTCGAGACTAAAAGCCTCCAATATCGCCGAGATGCCTTTGGAGGGTCTCTTCTTGTCGTTGGGCTCACAGCCATTCCAATATTCATGGAGTTCTTAGGATAATAATAAAATCGTAGACGTTACGTGCACATATTTTAAAGTGACAGAAGAATCAAAGAGGTATGAGAAGCAACCGCATTATTCGGAGGGTATGAACTCGATCGAAAAATGAAAGTACATTATTTACGAGTTCACACTGCTAACACTATTGGGTTGGGTTTTTGATTGATGCAACTATTCGGCCTCTGAGGTCATGCTAGGAAGTATCTTTTTTCAATGAAGGCGTTTCTTACGCGTCGACACTCTTCATCAAATAATATCTCAAACAATCTCACAATCAAACATGCGTTTTCAATGTTGATTCGGTTTTCAACTGATGCAACTATTCGGCCTCTGAGGCCGTGCTAGGAAGTATCTTTTTTTTAATGAAGGCGTTTCTTACGCGTCGACACTCCTCGTCAAATAGGTCTTACATACTGTTTTAGTTGTAGTTGCAATATCACTTTGTGTGTGTGTGTTAGTTTTGTGACGACAATTATTTTAGTTCCAGTAACTAAGTCGTCCCGGTCATCTCCGCCACTGGAGCCGACGTATATGTTATACCACAACAGTGACATTGTTTGTAACAACTACTAGAATAGTAAGTAGATCTGGAATCCACGTTGCAAAGGCAACGATTCTAATTGGAACGATTATTTTCCAAATCACATAAGCGCCAAAATTGCGAATGCGAGAAAAACAAGAAAACCCGTTTTACTCGCTTCGTTGACAATCTTCGAATTCAAAAAGAATTTAATGTTCTTTTAGAGGGCTATTTTGAAATCAAACATGATTGATTATACCGGAGAAAACAAAGAAAAAACTGACAAAATAGAGATTGGTGCTTACGTGATTTGGAGAGTAATCGGTTCAATTGCAACACAGCATCAATGATCCTACTTTCCACCATTAGCCGTGATTTTTAGCATTTTATAACCTTTTACAATTCCATTAATCATTTTCGGGCTTCCCGGCCTAAACCCGATTTTCCGCTGGAAATAATACCGTGCAGTGGACATGAGGAACGGGCAAGGTATTCTCTACACGCTTATCCCGATTGTTCCATTGTATGCTCGATCCAAGGAGAAAACGGTGGAATCGCTCGAAAGCATGAATGGACCTCAAATCTCCCCGCCACCCCCTCCCCTCTAAGCCCCGCAGAATACATTGACCGTCGTATCAACGGGGAGATCCCGGCTAGATTACTTTCATCGGATTTCTTACCTGACATGCCAGACAGTTGGATGCCTCCGCAAGGTGTAAAGGTGGCGGAAGGGATGAAGGAGGGAAGGGAGGGGAAAGTCCGCAGGACATAGGCGATCCGGTGAAATACTGTCGGCGGCCTCTCACAAGGGAAGTTTTTGGAACGCAGCGCATTCCAGCCTAATCCTCGGGGTGGATTGAGGATTGAGGGAACCAATAGGAGGGTTGGCAATCGCAGGTTTTTATTCGCTTCCGCCGAGGAAGGTGACGGATGTTACCGGTTAAGTTTGGATTTTGTGGGTACACAAATCCATACCTCATTGATCAGAACTCACCAGAAAATAATTATTAGGAGACCACACAAGGAAACGCAGTTAAAATAAAATAAGGAAAATTAAAAAATTGTCCCACTTTCTAATGTGAGCAAAAGTGTCAAGATTCAAAGAACTATTTAACATTCCTGGGTGGAATTTTCTACAAAAAAATTTTCCTGATGACGTACGTTTCTTCAACCTTTGGCTGGGCGACGTAATGGGATCAACTTGACTTTTGATTTATATTAATCATAAAGACGTTTCTATGTTCAGCAATATGTCCAGGTGCGATGAACTACCTAATCATTAAATATTTCGTTTAAAGCTCAGAAAATGCCTTACCTCGATGAATTCTCACAGAATACGTGCAAGAAATACTTAGCTGTAAAATGTTAAAAGTTTTAGAAGATGCTCAATGTATTTAAAATGATTACGACTGGGGGTAGGTAAGTCATATGGTCAAACCTAAAAAAACCGTGGGTGGGTTCGATGGCCATTTAACTGGTAGTTTTGACTTATAGACCACGCAATGGATTTATTCATACGATTGCTATCGGAGGAAGACAATCAAAATAGGCATTTGGAAGATAGAAAAGGTGAACAAATATTTCAACATTTAAGGCATGATGTGTACAAATGTATTTGATTTCTTCTTCATTCTGAGAAAAAAGAAGAAGAAAATTGTAGTTTCTTATGGAACTTAACTGAGGCCCCGGCGCAACGTGTGTGCATCTCAGTTTGAGAAGGCTCAGACATTCTACTTCGCCTTCACTTTACAGGGTAGGCAAAACAGTTTTGTGATGGATGGAATGTGGTACTCATTCATTACTAATTCGACTTACTAACAACCTCCAACTGTCTGTTAGTGGACGCTGATTTGCCTTCATTCAAAAGAGTAGGCAAAAGAAGTTTCTAAGAGCTAAAATAGTTGTATCCATATCCTATCTCTAGACAAACGTCAAACACAACGTTCATTAGTGGCACATCCACAAGGCGACCTCACTCAATCGTAACGTAACTACCGAGCATTCATGTAACCCTTCTTTTTTTGCAGGATCTTCACGGAAATACAGCACTTGGCCATTCTTCTGATGATCAGTTTTTTTTGCACCAACGCGAGGTCCCTTCTCCGCGTGACGGTTACGATTCCTGAGAGGCGGCTCATTTTTTTCAAAGTATTTATCGAAGCATCTGGTGAATCAATAAGGTAAGCATCTATGGTTTTAATTCGAAATAAGGTTCTTGAACTACATTTAGTCATGCAACTCACAAAAATTTTACACTGATATTGCGGATCTATAAATAGAGTTTTTGTAAAAAGCGAGGGGCAATTGTGTGGGAGCTATAAGTTCGCAAAAATTAACATCATTGAAGACAAAATAGCAGTAGATCTAACTGGACCTCCTTATTCCGCAGGAGATAAGTACATAACTGCTATCACGGGGACAATGGTACCCTGATATTATATCAATTCCTGAAAAGTTCGCTGTCCGTCAAAAAGCATCTCGGTACAATTCTCTACTCGGGCACTCCAGGGGTGCAGAAAGTGCCGTTCGGCCAGATATTTTACACGATCTGTGATTTTACCTCACTCACTTCCGAACAATTTCCTCTTTTTCCGAAATTTTTCGAAGTGATGACTTTTTTTTTGCCCTTCATTTTGAATATTTTTTCACGTACCTTTTATTTTTCACAGGTGTATATTATCCCACGTTTCATGCTCAAATCGTTTCCCCTAAAGTCGAAAAGATCGATAAATCGTCTGAATTCTTTCCGAAAATGTTTTTCACTGTCGTTTCTTTCGACGGCAATTTCCTCACTTTTTCAAAAATGTCTTGATCGATTACGCAATCCGCGGATCGCACGATCGGACGGATTTTCCACCTCTATTTTTTCAAAATATAATTTCCGCACTTGCAGCTCTATCCAGACCGGAGTTTTGCCGCGGCGTTTGGCGTGACCGTCGACTGTGCGGAGGGGTCCTCCGCGTGTGGCGTGAGGCTGGTCGCGAACCGGCCTGCGCTCCACATCCTCCGCGACCATTCCTCAGTCTTTCCGCTCACTTCGCGCAGAGCGCCAGCCAGCTTGGCACCTACCTGTCGGCGTCATAATCACGTGGAAGTCCCCGCGAACTCGCGTGTCTTCGCAATATTCCCTCTGAGTTTAAGCAATTATTTTAACGCTGCATTAAAACCTGATTCCGGTGGATTTTTTAGTGTTTGTGTTTCTATAACTTTTACCGGTAACCTTAAAATCATCGCGTTGCTTTCCCGAAAGCTCATAGTGCTTCAGTCATAGAAAACACAACAAAAATCGGTGTTCGAATGCAAATTTGATCGTTGCTCGGGTAATTTGCACCTGCTTAATCCAATAAACGAATCCTTCTGTGGAACTCATTCATGAGAAAACACTCTCGTTGTTCAAGTAAATTATTTGCTGTGCAGAAAGCTTTAAACTGCTGAAATTTAACGCGGCTATTTTCTTATTCAAGCTTTAAAAGTTTGAGGTTACAGTGTTAGCTCGTCAAATTGCCTCTCTCATGCTACGACGTTGATGTACTATCTGTCCTAAGCAAGTAAAGCTGTAAAAAGTTTTAAGTGATCGCGTGAAGATTTAATTCAGTTTGATATAATTTAATCCTCAAGAATACTTTTGTGCTTTTTCATCCACTCTCGTCAAGTAACAAAGAAAAAGGTATGTAAATTTTCATATCAAACAAACACCGGTAAAAATTCATTTAAGGTTGCAGTATCCAAGGGGGATAAATAATTTTTTTCTTTTCTTTTTTTAAATTGTATAAATTATGAACTAAGATATGAATCCTCCAAAATTTAATTCATACAAGTAATTTTAAATGAGCATTATACAGTGCCACAAGGTATCTTTCAAGTTGAAAATTTCAAGAACGATTTCCACAAACATTTCGCTAACGGCAATTTTTATTTGCCTTAGCTTTGAACTTTAGATGATGGTTTTTTACTTCCGTCCGTCACAAATTTAAGGGAAAGGATAATAATGCTCCGTACTTAAAAAAAACTTTTGTTAACAACAAAATTGTCTAAACTTTTACCCGAACAGAAAACTTTTAGGTAACTTGAACTGAGTGTCGCAGAGCCGAATTTCCAACTTTTTGGAATGGAATGAGGGGTTTGTCACAAGTTTTATAAGAGAGTTCTGAAATTTGCAAGTTTTGTTTGCGGCAAAAATGGGCGGTCCACTCCGGACACAATTTAAGCTCATCACCACAAAACCTCAAACTTTAGACAGTCGGTTTCCACTGCCTATTCTGGCTGTGGGATGTAGGCTTAGAGCGCGGAGTCAGAGCAGCTTCGGAAAAATCTCCTTCAAACGGAAAGGTCGGCCACCGTTAGCTACGTTCATGCACGTATAGTTGTATCTTAACGTGTAGTCAGCTTCCCGCTGCTGCATCTGAAGTTAGGCCCCCAATGCACATGTGCTGCACATCCGCGACTCAACGCAATTGTTCTCGCAAACGATAAGAGGTTGAAACTAGATATGCAGTTATATCCAGAAGACAATCTTTTCGAACACTTCACATTAATAAAATGAAAAATCATATGACACGCGCAAATACCACATTGAGCAACGCTTCAAAGTTTCCTACGCTTTGTTTCTTCCCATTTTTCTCAGAAAGTTATTCCACTCGAGATATTTTGTAAGGCTTCTGTAGAGCCAGGACCCCAAAATTTCGACTCTCTGCACATACATACGAGTCGCTGTTATAGCGCTCTTTGGCGCTTTGCGACACCTAATCGCCACAAAGCTCGGTCTTCCCACAGGTTATTAGGGAGTTGACTCTCCCTCATCTCACTTAACACCCCCTGTCGCCAACCTCTCACTGGGCGTCCCCTACGCCCTCTCTGAACCACTTTGGAAAAAAAAAAACATTACTTCAAAAGGAAGGCAACGGTTATAACAAAATGTGTTCCTTTTTTCCCCCATCTACTTATTTTATATGATTCAAGCTGTATGACGGAGGGGGCATAAAAATGGAGTTGAAATTTCACTTCATGAACTTATTTAAACTCCCACTTTTGTCGCTTATCCACGACATCTCACTTTTCGACGGTGAAAGTCAAATACCACGTATCTCGGTTTGCAACGTTGCAGACTTCCTGTCATTTTTTATTCTTTCAATGGAAAACCACCCCACGTTAATTCTTGAAACTTTCCGTAATCCTAATCCGTAAATAACCCTGCCTGAAGAATATTCCGTAAACATTGCAACCTATCATGTTGAGTCTTTCTCCTTCAAAATAACGAAATAGGAGTAGTGATTTGGAATCACCGTTGACTTAGATACGTGGTTTCGTAGTTCCAACCTCGATTTTATCACGATAGCTTTGCTATGGAATGAATGAGGTAATCAAAAGAAAAGGCCTTAAGTTTCCCACCGTAAATACTTGCTCCAAGCGATCAATCTGGCAGCGAGTCCCACACCTTGCAGGGCATCCCACGATTATCTCTCCCACACTTCCGTAAGCACGCATCACGTCACGCCGCCCGGTAGATCATTATTTTATCGTAGAACTAGTCAGTGTCGAAGATTCCTCATTCAATGGACCACTAGACAAGCTAAGAATCGAGCGCTCACAGGAGCGAGGAATTTCCGATTTTACCACTAGCTTCTTCGTAAAATTTTTCTAGATGTACAATCGGACCACCGAATTTCCTAACATCAATTCCCAAGCTCCGTAAAAGCTTTCAATCAACCAAATCATCCGTACAATATTAGAATATTGATGGCTAAAGCGCGAAATCACGTATTTTACGACATTGTAGTTTTCCTGTCATACTTAATTTTTTCATCAGAAAACGTGTCGAAGTACTTCCTCGAAAATTTTTTGCGTTTTCTCCTCTGTACCATGGATATTCTGTATCAATTTCAAGCTCTAACGTTGGCTTGTTTCTTTTTTAAAAAAATAAAGTAGGGGCAAGATTTTCAAACACGGCAATGGAGATAGGTGGTTTCGTACTCTAGTTTTGACACATTATGAATGTGACCAGCAAGAACCGAAATATTCATTATAATTTTCTATGGATATTATTGAATGGGTGTGAAAAATTCACAGAAAATTAAAAATAATGGTTTGCTAGTTTTCTTTTAATAGAAAAAAGGAAGTAAATATAGAAGCTGTTTACGACGTTTTAGGAGATCCGCATTTTTCGACTCCGGTCATGGATATGACGTTTCCTGGCGCTGCTTTCGATAGACCGTATTCGATAGCGCTTCGATGTATCGTTTGGTTCAAAACACAAAAATTTTAGGATTTAAGGAGAAAAAACTGAAAACGAGAAAATGCCTAACAATTTCATTGTTCATTCCCACTTGCTCATGAGAATCAAAATCCTATTTCAAGAAATCCGTTCCCTCAGATTACTCAATTGACTTTTGAGGCTATTTTCACATGTTGGAACAATCGATATCGATACAATCTCACCTGTTTGATGTATCGAATACGATCCATTGGCGCTGGTGCATTTGCTTCAGGCCATTTCTACACGCCTAAGCGTACCTCTCTCTTTACATCGCGGTACTCGAATTTCTTCTTCTCCGCGCCAAAGCCAAGTAGGAGAGCCTTTACAAAAGGCGTAGCTAGATCCGCCAGTCGTATCCTATGCTGAGAGGCTGTGCGTGGATGAGGATGAGGCGAAACAATCACTGTGGGCGCGGGAGTAAGGGGTATAATCTCGACACGGGCCGTAGGTGCTAATTTACCCAAAGTGCTCTCCGCGCGCATGCGTGCTGGGAGCCCCGGGCTCCTCACACAGGGATGCCAAGTGCAGTCTGTTTTAGTCGTTTTATTCGTTTCTATCATAAAGAGCCCAAAAACGGTCATTCAAAAACACCTCCAGCTTTTCTTTCAGCTGTCAGATGTAAGCCACTAACATAAAACTTCAGATCTCACTGAGGTATTCTCTAAGTAACTTACGATGCCTTTAGAGAACTTTGCTCAATATCTTCATGGTGTACTTTCATTTACGTGACAACCTTCGCTTTAGGGGCACCTGAAAATGTGCTTGTTGTGTGACCAAAACGCAACAACGAACGCATGCAGAAGATAGCACTTACGGCTGTCTTGCCTAACACTAGCCTAACATGAAAATGAAAAGCACCCTTTATTATGTAACTGAAATAAAATCGGTCGATTTTTAATCACCCATACGATTTCTAGAGGTCTCTCGGGTGAATAGTGGCAATTTGACAAAGAATGGAGGTTTCTTTCAATAAAATTTTCCGGTCAGACGCTTCTGAGCCCGTTTTCTCGTAACTTCATTTTTGCATTTACTTCGCTCTTTGCCATCACACTGGAAAAAAAACACATTGGATCTAGAGTCCAGACTCTTAAAAACATCGACAAGAAAAAATACTCTTGGTTCAATCAGAATCTAGCTTAAATCAAGAACCAAGCCTCTTAATTTGAGCGGATTTCCTTTTGATTTAAGCTTAAATCTGATTGAATCAATAGTATTTTTTCTTGTCGATGTTTTCAAGAGTCTGGACTCAAGATCCAATGTGTTCTTCTTCCAGTGCACGGCAGAAAGGGACCCCAGGTATTCGTGGCTTTTGGGAAACACAGCCGTTCTCACGAGGTAAATTTGGCAGGCGTGCGTGAGCGCCGTGTGTGGGTGCCGGACAAGGGCGCCGAAAAGCCAAGGGGGTCATGTGCCCCTCTCGCATGCCTTAATGACGAGCGGACGAGTTTGGGCGGACGATGTAGCAACGCGGGCGACAGGGCTGCGGCGTCCAGGTCCCAGTCCCATGTAGGTGTACCCGAATCAAGATAGTCCCACGTCCCCGCATCCGCGTCAATCGGCGTCCGGCGTCCGGTCCCGGTGTCCAACGCTCCTGTCGGCGCCCAGCCGGCCCCGGCCCAGCGAGGCGTCATGTTGGCTGGTCCTCCGCGCCGCCGCCGCCGCCGCGCCGGCTGGCACTGACACCTTCCAGGCTTCTCAACCCCGGTGTTGCCTGACTACTCGTACCTGTACCCGTGACAATAAGCGCGCTTTGTATATAGGGTGATCCTAAAGTCCTTGACCACCACTATAGTAAGCTTGCTGAGGGCGAATTGTGTAGGGACCGAAAAAAAAAAATTCGACCTGAGCGGCAATTCGTCTTAACATTTTCTCTATTTAACTTATGGACGTGTCTACAGACCGAAAATAAACTCGACTTAAGCGGTATTTCGTCTTATTTGTAGTTCGACTTAGCGAGCGTTTACTGTATATCAGTGCGTCTATCGTCAGTAAAAGTAAAACCCGGCAAAACTCGGGAATATCGAAATTCGATGTCATCAGAAAAAGACCGGAATATATCAGGAAAATCGATCATGGGTCGGGAAATTTTGAGTGCTTAAAGCATTTGTCAAACATTGGATTCAATTCATCAAATCTGTTGGTTTCTAAAATTGAACGTGTGTTAATTTATTGGCGTAAATATCAGGAATTTTCATTTAAAATATCTGGGAAAACAGGAAAATTCTGAAAATTGGTTAAAAAATTATGAGAGAAGTTGGAAGTTAGAGGATCTTTCCCACGTCTACAACTCCGTCGTCACCTTATTTGTTTATAATTCTACACAATTAAAGGTGCGAGTAACAAGGTCATGAAAACAAAAATTGAAGCAAACGTTTACTTGTTTACATTGATACAAACGAGGAGGAGAGAGGCTA